GAGACGAAGTGGAGAGAGAGAAAGAGAAACTGAGGCAAGCAGAAGAGAGAGAGAGGGGGTCAGGGCCAGCGGTGGTGGTGGCGATGTCGCTGTGTCGTGACTGTGAGAGAGTTGAGTTGAGAGAGAGTGAGAGAGTTGAAAACGAGAGAGTGAAGAGAGAGAGTTGAGAGAGAGAAGATAAGAGTCAGAGAGAGTGAGATAGTTGAGAGTCTGTGAGAGAGAAGATAAGATCAAAAGTGAAATAGATATTTATATAATACAACTAAGAGGAACAGAGACGGGGATGAATCGGGGAAATTTCGGGGCGGGGCCGGGGCCGACGAGCCTATTCCCGTCCCCGACCCAAAAATTATCGGGGATGTATTTTTCAATACCAGCCTCGGCCCTATGGTGAATAATTTTCGGGGAAAACCCGATTTATCGGGACAGGGCGGTCCGGTCCCTGTTGGGCCTGGTTGATATTGCTATCCCTACTGAACACTTACTAGATCAAGCAGCACAAGTCTAGTCCATACTACCCCCAAGGGAATGGACAAGCTGACCAACAAAACCATCACCCAAATATTGAGTAAAATAATGGATGAAGCACATGGTCTGAACAACTCCCTGTAGCACTCTAGGCGTATAGAACGTCAAAGAGAAAGCCAACTCAGGCAACCCCATTTTCCCTAGTGTACGGGTCCGAAGCTGTGTTACCAGTTGAGTTGGCAGTAGCCTCAGCAAGAATGGCTATGTCAGCACACTTAGTTCCAGACAGCAGAAAGAATGACATAGAGGCAGCTGAAGAAAGAAGAGATTGAGCCTCGCGGGCAATGGAAAAGTATCATCAATCCATAGCTCGTGCTACAATCAATCTGTTCAGCACAAGAAGTTCAATAAAGGGGACTTGGTATGGAAGACGGTGGACGAAATCATGTGGGGGCAACTAATTCCCAAGTTCTCACCAAGATAGGAAGGCCCTACAAAGGTGCTGAGGTAACCAGCAGCGGGTACTACAAGTTGACATGAGTAGATGATGGGTTCAAAACTGGCCCTATCATCGCCACGTTGTCTGCATGCTCGAGGAAACCATTGACTACCTGAAGCCTATCCCTCATCCACGATAGGTCTAAACCGTTCCTTTCAAAGCTGCTCAGGTTTGCCTCGGCACTTTCCACGAACTTGCTAGGGGTGGCCAGAATCTTTTTAGTAGCAAGGTCGCAAATGAAGCTGGCGAGTGACTCTAGCAGTGCTGTCTGCAGCATAGATCCAGGAACGTTAAAAGCAGGAAAGGTGCCGGGGTGCAGCTCCTGGATGCGGGGCGAGAGTGGGAGCAGCTGCGGGGGAGACCCAATAACTTAGAAAAGAAACTTTCTCTGAGGGCTGAGGGGACTCCCTCACACCCCTGCCAACTTCAATCACTGGAGGGAGATTGGTGGAGTGACCAAAGGTCTAAGGACGACGCACTTCCCTTGAAGATGATTGCCTAGTAGCATTGGAATGAGTAGATGCAACGTTGGCGACCAGGTGAACTAGCCTCGCGAGAAAGACTAAAGCTGCCTGCACCGTCATGTCGCTCCGAAAAGAGGTCATCCATCTGGTAGTCTCCAACGTTCAGATCTGGAACAGTAGTGGTATCCATTCCAGTATAAAAATCTTGGGATACCCCAAGGTCAACTGGCACTTCTGGAAAGTGAGTGGGGTACAAGTCTGCCAGCTGTTCAAAGGTTGCCGAAGCAACTGGGTCAGAGGTCCCAGCGACAGCAATAACAGTGTGGGTGGCTAAAGTGACAGCTACCTTTGCAAGTCGGTCCAAATTTAGAGGGGCCACAACAGGAACAGTGGAAGCTGTCGCTACACTTGCACTCTCCTCCGCCACTTGGGCGTTCGAAAGTGGGGTCTGCTAAACCAATGGAGACTCAGTGGACTGGGAGGAACCACCAGATGCAGTTCCAAAGGGAGGTGGTGCAACTTCCAGAGGCTCTCTCATGCCGCTATCTTCCCTTGGGGTCTCAGGGAAAAAATCCTCTCCTCCACCGACAGAGGAACGATCGGAGTGCACAGAATCTGCGAGGTTTGGAGGCTCTGCACCCTCCAACTAGGCCGCCCGCAACAACTTCCACAGCAGGGGGAACTTCATTTTCTGCAGCCTCCACAACTGGCTCAGCCTCAGTAGTTGGTGGGGCCCCAGCACTTGGTTTTTCTTCAACATCTAGAAGTACTGCCGACAAAGGAACGGTCGGAGTGCACAGAATCAGCGGGGTTTGGAGGCTCTGCACCCTCCAACTAGTGACTGTGAGAGAGTTGAGTTGAGAGAGTGAGAGTGTTGAAAACGAGAAAGTGAAGAGAGAGAGAGTTGAGAGGGAGAATATAGGAGTCAGAGAGAGTGAGATAGTTGAGAGTCTGTGAGAGAGAAGATAAGATCAAAAGTGAAATAGATATTTATATAATACAACTAAGAGGAACAGAGGCGGGGATGAATCGGGGAAATTTTGAGGCGGGGCCGGGGCCGACGAGCCTATTCCCGTCCCCGGCCCAAAAATTATCAGGGATGTGTTTTTCAATACCAACCCCGGCCCTATAGTAAATAATTTTCAGGGACAACCCAATTTATCGGGACAGGGCGGTCCGGTTCTCGTTGGGCCGAGTTGATATTGCCATCCCTACTGAACGCCTACCAGATCAAGCAGCACAAGTCGAATGCTATGTCGGGACGTGTGTGAGATTAGTATATCAGTCTTCCAACAGGTCTCTGAAACTGGTCTATATTCACCACATCTTCAATTCTAGCATGCTGTAGCTTCAAGTTGAGCTCGGTTGGTGTTTCAACAGCTTTACATCCGAGCAAACATGTTTTTTTGAGCAAGTCAATTGTGTACTTGCGCTGAGTGACAAAAATGCCCTCCTTAGATCTAGCGAACTCCATTCCAAGAAAGTATCTTAGAAAGTACCTTTATCTCGAAATCTTTAGCAAGTCCCTTCTTCAACTTTTTCGATTCGGCATTATCATTACCTGTTAGAATTATGTCATCTACATAAACAATCAAGATAGCTACTTTACCTTCTCTTGAGTGTTTATAGAACATAGTATGGTCTGCTTGGCTTTAACTGTATCCAAGGTTTTTTACAACCTTCCCAAAGCGTTCAAACCACGCCCTTGGGGATTGTTTGAGGCCGTATAGAGACTTGTTTAATTTGCAGACTTTATCTATACCAAACTTCTTTTCAAAACCTGGAGGTAAGTTCATATAGACTTCTTCTAGATTTCCATTTAAGAAGGCATTTTTTACATTTGATGTAGAAGCCAGCTGGAATTAACTGCTAGTGACAGTAAAACCCGAATTGAGTTCATCTTGGCAACTGGAGCAAAGGTTTCTTGGTAGTCAATCCCGAGGGTTTGTGTAAACTTTTTGGCCACGAGTCTCACCTTATATCTTTCCATGCTACCATCAGCTTTGCACTTCACTGTAAATACCCATTGGCACCCTACTGTCTTTTTGTCCTTAGGCAGATTCACTAACAACCAAGTACCGTTCTTTTCTAGAGCATTCATCTCTTCCATAACTATTGATTTCCAATTAGGATCATCCAAGGCTTCCTTAATAATTCTTGGAACAAACAGGTTAGATATTTTTGAAGTAAATGTTCTATGACTTTTGGAAAGATAAATATTTCGCAATGGAATGTTGGGTACATTTTCGAATTCCTTTCCTAATGGCTAGAGGAAGATCACAATCTGTGGGTATAACATTAGGTAAAACCACTGAAGGAAATGGAGATGAAGTAGAGACAGATGATGGAGGAACCAGATTAGGAATACCTGAACTACTTGAGGGACCTCTTTTAAGAGATTCTGATTGGCTTTGTGGTGGAGTGGTTGGCTAGTCTTTACTTTTTCTTTGAGTATTTTTCCGAGCATAAACCAAAAACTCAGGTTCGGGAACAGTTTGTTCTAATTGTAGTATTTCTCCCCCTGCTTGTGAGCCTTCTATGTTTGGAGAAGTTGGACTGGGATTTCCTTCGTTCTACATATCTTGAATACCCTGTTTCTGTTCTCGTTTTTCAGAAAACAAGGGATGGAGATCAAATAGGATTTGGTAAGGGATCCGAAGTTGTTTGCCAAAAAATTTCTTCCTTTCTCTTTTTCTCTCCTTGAAGAGAATTTTTGGTAAAATAGGATTGAGTTTCAAGAAAGGAGACATCCATAATCACCCAAATGTTTTTGTTTGAGGATTATAGCACTTGTAGCCTCTTTTGTTTGGAGCATACCCGATGAAAACACATTTTTCTGCTCTAAGATCAAGTGTGGATCGAATTTGGCTGGGTATGTGAACAAAAATAGTATAGCAAAAATTTTTTAAAGGCAAATCTGAATTAATTCTACAATCAGGAAAGGTTTTTTTGAAATATTCTACGGGTGTGACATATTGCAAAACCTGGGTAGGCATTTTTTTAATTAAATAAGAGGCTGTCAAAATGGCATCTCTCCATAGATATTTGGGAACATACATAGAGAACATTATGGCTCAGGCTACTTCCAGTAAATGCTTATTTTTTCTTTCGGCAATACCATTTTGTTGAGGAGTGTCACGACATATAGATTGATGAAAAATACCTTTTTCCCAAAAAAATTCCCTAGATATTCATTGAAGTACTCTTTTCCATTATCAGCTTGAAAAATACTAATTTTTGAATGAAATTGATTGTCAATCATTTTGTAAAAATCTTGAAACACGTTTTTTACTTCAAATTTGTCTTTCATCAAATAAACCTAGCAAAGCCAAGTGTGATCATCTATAAAAGCTACAAACCACTTTAATACCAGTCATGGTGGTAACCTTGGAGAAACCCCACATCACTATGAATTAAGTAGAATGGTTTAGAGGCACGGTAGGGTTTTGTAAGATAAGTAGTTCGATGACTTTTAGATAAATAACAACTTTCACATTGAAAAGACGAACAATCCAAATTTTTAAACAAGTTAGAAAACAAATGTTTAAGATATGAAAAACTAGGAAGAGAAAGAAGTCATGTGATCAGATGCCCCCGAATGTACATCTGGATAGACTGAAACCAACGCAAGAAATTATCACCGTTGAGTTTAATGCTGGTGATTTGCACCGAGTGAGAATCAATGTTGGAGACATGTTTCTCAATGTTTTTCGGTGAAACGGTAACAGTGGATTCAGATGTGGTTTCTGATATGGTGAAGGACAGCTTGCTGGTTCTAGGATTACCTCAGAAGGGTCAGAGAATAAGTCCTCAGCTTTGATACCATGAAAGCTAGAAAGAACAATATTTCTTATTCTCATATTTAAACAATGTACATAGCACCTCTATTTATAGGAGATACAAGGCATAAAATTAGGAATTGATTAGCTACTAATTAGCTACTGATTCTGAGGACTGATTAGCTATTATTTAGCTACTAATTTTGATCCTAATAAACTTTCCTATTCTATAGTATTGACTAAATCTAAATGTTTACAGTTGTGATATCCAAAAGAATTCAGCCATATCCTGGAAGAATTATTTTCTTTCCATTTCCAATATTGAATATAGTTGATATTTGTTAGTTTTCCTTTTCTTAGCTTCTGTGGCGCATAGGCATTGTTCGTCATGCTATGCTTTTTAAGGGGTAAGTGTTTTATTGCCATAAAAGAGGATTTACAATGAAGTTCATGACATGCCAAAGGCAATACCCCCTCTAAAAGAGAGCTTACGCCTAGCCTGTAGAACAATTAAACCTCAGCAATTGGCATTTTAGGATAGAAATTTGTGTGCTTTGCAAATCCTTAGAGCATGGGGTCAAGAGAAAATTGAGAAACTAATTGGCATGAGTAGTATTTTAATTTTGAGTTACTGCTTATGTCTACAAATTGGCTTTCATACTTAACCAAAAAAAAAAAGAAAAAGAAGAAAAAACAAAAATAGGATTAAGTTAGTAGTTTATTGGTGGTAGTTGCTACATAATTGATGTCTGTTGGGCTATATATAACAAATCCACGTGTTTTTTGGGAGATAAATGTAGACCTTTTTTTTATTCACTGGCAACTGAGCAGCGAGTAGTAACACAAGTGATGAAGACTAAAGAATTCCTCAACTGAACAGTGTGTCAACAATCAGGTAATCTCAGTTATCACTCAAGAATTCCTTCACTTACATTGCTGCCATTGCTTGGAAATGGAGACTAAATTGGGCGTAGGTTTTTTTTGGTTTTTATTTTTTTCATTTATCCTTTTCGATGTTGTGATGCAAAGCGTCATTCTTTGGAAGCTGACATGGGCGTGGAGATAGAAGGTGATGGGCGTGCCTGCATATCTTCAATTCGATCTAGGCAGAGTCGACAACCAGGTAATTTCTAATCTCAGTTGTCACTCAAGAATAAATTCACTTACATTGCTGCAATTTCTTGGAAATGGATATCGTATTTCATAAGTAAAAGATCAAAATTATTCTGTTGACACGGCTTCTACATGTTCCAATTAGTATGGTGTTAGAATTGTATGATGCACGATTCGATTCATACAATTTAATATGAGTTTCAACCAAAATTATTTGAATTGTGTTGTTTGAAAATTGGGTGTCCTGTTGAATTGAGAATTGAGTAGTTCGTCTATGTTTTTGTTTACATAATGTATTGAATTGACGCCTTTTTCTGTTACACTACGATGAAACAAAAATAGGGGAATTGCTTATACTGATATACGTGGTTATATATAATTTATTTATATTGATACCATGTAGTATTTGACTTTGATTGCTACAGTGTTCCCACATATGTGTGAGGTTTGGAAATTCCTTTCCAATAATTCGGGCTGTATTTGATAAGCATCCTGCGGATCTTGTATGAGAAAGAAATAAGAAATGGAAAAAAAAAAAAAAACTTTGTTTATAGTTTCATGTGGAAAAAACATGCAAAGAGCGAACTGCTAATACATGTATTATCTTATGCAATTTAATCTTTTCTTTTGTGGAAGTTTTGTTAGAATTTTGTATTTCATTTGTTGTGACGGGTTATAGAAACCAAAAACTCACTTTTCGTAGTTTTTAGATAATTAGAGATTGACAATTCCAACTTCCTTTACTTCATTCAAAAAGTTGTTCAGAATAATTGATCAGAATTATTTTGAGGAACCGGTTTGTGCATATTATTCAAAATAATTTTACTTTTAGGAGCAGTTAGTTTTTCGTTTGTATTTTTTTTTTTCCTTTGTGTTTTTGGCGCTAACCCCTTGTGGGCAATGACACATATAGACATGGTTAATCATTTAAGGTAATCTCCTATACTTTTTGATTTTATTTTTTACATTCAGGACAATGCATCGTTTAGGTTGGGGGCAGGCACATATAGACATGGTTAATCATTTAAGGTAATCTCCTTAACTTTTTGATTTTATTTTTTACATTCAGGACAATGCATTTAGTTTGGGGGGAGAAAATACTTATTTTGAGAAGAATTTATATATTTGCTTGCTGCTATGAGTTAGTTGTTTTGTTTTTTTTTAAAAAAAAATTAGTGCTCATGGTAATCTTTTGTTCTATACATTGGGTGATTGGGCATACTTGCGGTATTTTATTACTTTAACTCAAGAATTGTGTTGAAGTTTGATATGCTAGCTACTTTGTTACAGCATTCCATGTGTTCATATTTGGAAATCATTGCCCTACACTTCTGCCACATGAATATGATTGATAAGTGGATATGACTTGAAAATCTTGAAGAATGATAGTGGAGACTTTTAACCCTGTGAGTTTTGTGCCAATCATTTATTGGAGAGTTATTATGCATCTACTCTTAATTTTTCTTTGGAAACGCATTAATTTATTGTTTAGTCTCATTATTTTTTCATTTTTGGTTGAAGGCTTAGAATAAATCAATTTGTTATCATACTTTTACTCCCTCGAGGACAATGCATCGTTCAGGTTGGGGGAGAAAATACTTATTTTGGGAAGAATTTATATGTTTGCTTGCTACAATGAGTTAGTTGTTTTGTTTGAAAAAAGAAAAAAAGGTGTGCATGGTAATGTATTGTTCTATGCATTGAGTGATTCGGCATACTTGTAGTATTTTATTGCTTTAACTTGAGATTGCTTTAACTCAAGAAATTGTGTTGAAGTTTGATATGTTAGCTACTTTGTTAAAGTATTCCATGTGTTCGTATTTGGAAATCATTGCATTGCACTTTAGCCACATGAATATGATTTTTAGTTGATTAGTGGTTATGACTTGAAAATTTTGAAGAATGATAGTGGAGTTTTTTGAGCCTACGAGTTTTGTGCTAAACTTTTATTGGAGGGTTGTGATACATCTACTCTTAATTTTCTTTGGAAGTGCATTAATTTGTTTAGTGTCATTATTTCTTAATTTTGGTTGAATGTTGAGGATAAATCAATTTGTTACCATACTTTTATTCCTTTGAGATCATGAATTGAGAGATGAGTTTAGGCCATCTTTGTTTCATTGAGCCTTTTATTTATTTTTCTTTCCTTTATTATTACTTCATTAGAAACCGATTTGAGCCTTTATGTTAGCCTTTCTTTGTTTAACCCCACAACCCATACTTTCTTTTCAATTTTGTAGTATGTTGGGTAAGTTCAGTTTGGCAATGGCAAATTTGTTTGAAAAAAAAAAATGTAAAAAAAGGAGAGAAGGTGGAAAAAAAAGAAGAAATAAATTGTGTTCAACGAGAGGGGGGGGGGGGCAAGAAAAAACAAAGCAGGAGAAGGAAGTTGAAAAAGACAAAAAAAAAAAGTAACAAAAGGAGCAAAACATTTGGAATAATGCTCTAACTGTTTTTATTTTTATGCCAATAATCTCTGAGATTAGAGCTTATTTTTATGCCAATAATGTCTCAGACATCCATTTTTTTATTCAACTTTGCGTTTTATTATTTTTTCGTAATTCCTCGACCCAAACATTACAACCAAATAAAAGTCCTATTTGATCTTGAGAGTGGTATAGTTTACAAGTGGACATGATGGATAGGCGTGATGGTATGGTAATTTTAATTCTCAGTATATGGTATTCCATTGATGAGACTATTTATTTATTCTTTTATTATGGCATTTTTCCAAAAAATTAGTATGCGGGATATTTTGCCTTTGATTTACATTATTCTACTCGCATATATTGAGAGTAATTTTCACACCATATTCTGAGTGATTTATTTGTTGAATGCAATAACTGGTGAGATTTGAGTCGAAGCATGTTTCAGAATTTCACTTTAAGGCTAAGATTGTGTCTGTGTTGGCTAAACTTTTTCACACACTCCAAATTCTGAATGTCTTGAGATATCTTTACTTGCTGCTAGTGTCTTGAACTTTGGTTGATTATTTTGTTAAGATTGTGAAATTCATGACTTGTTCTTTAACATTAGCATGAGAACGAAAGAAATCCTTTTTAAGAAATTTTTTTACTTTTGTGGGTAATTTCTCTAGAAATTTTAATTCTCAGTATTTGATATTCCATTCATTAGACTATTTATTTATTCTTTCATATTAGCGTTTTTAAAAAAAATTAGTATGCGGGATATTTTGCCTTTGATTTACATTGTTCTACTCACATATATTGAGAGCAATTTTTCACCATGTTCTGAGTGATTTATTTGTTGAGTGCAATAACTTGTGAGATTTGAGTCGAAGCATGTTTCAGAAAGAGATTTGGGTTATATTTCACTTTAAGGCTAAGGTTGTGTTTGTGTTTGCTAAACTTTTTTCGCACACTCCAAATTTTGAATGTCATGAGATATCTTTATTTGCTGCTAGTGTCTTGAACTTTGATTGATTATCTTGTTAAGGTTGTGAAATTCATGGCTGGTTCTTTAACTTTGGCATGAGAATGAAAGAAATCCTTTTAGTAAAGAAATTTTTGGATGTTTGTGGGTAACATCTTTGGAAACCCTCACGAGACTTTTACTCGTCCACAAGGGGTAACCTATTGGATTAAGGGCTTGTTGCATGTGCTAAATTCAATCGTGATTTCTTGCAGAAGTGATTTAGAGTTGCTTTTATTTTACTTTTTGATTTTATTTTAGTCACCCTAATTGCTAGGTTCTAGCAATAAAGCTGGTTGGGAGGTGTGATGAATGCTTAAAATTACATAGTAGTTCTATGAATTTTGGATATTATATTCATTCTCTCAATTTGTATTTAATTGTGATTTAATGAATTTAATTTAAATTTGTAGAAAAACTACATTTGAGCCTTCACCAATATCAATTGCTCAACAAGGCCCATAAGACTCGGTATGCTTCTAAATCTTCTCATAACATCCACAAAACCTCTCTCAAAGGTTAGATAAGATTTCATTGTACCTCCAGTCCTTTAATATTTTGATTTTGGTCTTCAAATACTTATTTGTTTTTCCTTTTAATTACTATCCGTCTTCTGTTCTTTATTTGTTCCTTTTATGAAATATATATTTGGTGACTTAGATAATAGCAAAAAGGCTAAATTTGACCGCAATGTTGTCAAGGGTGCTCGGGCTGCTCGAATTCAGCAAAACAAATGGTAATTTTTATCTTAATTTTCTACCCCTCTACATAAGATGTATACCTTTTTACTCACAAGGGTCTTGTGTTTGTAGCTTTTCATCGAATAAAGGATAATATTTCTATTGCCTAAAGGCAGGATTGGATATTTTTGTTGATAAGGGAGCAGAAAAGGTGTGCTGTTTTGGAAGAAAAAAGGGCATCTAGTTGATTGACTAGTCCTCCCCGTGTCATTGTATATGATATGTTTTTAATGTTAATATTGTTTGTTCTCAAAAGGAATTGTTAATCCTTCACAAAAGGTTCTTTTGTATAAAACTAGACTACATTTGTTTCCTGGTAAATTGAGATTTAGATGGATTGGGCCGTTTCATAGTTAAAACCGTTTTTTCTCATGCGGCCCAAATTGAAAATCCCAAGAATGGTAATGTTTTTAAAGTGACTGGCCAACGTCTTAAACCAGTTTTGGAGAATTTCCCACCTGAAGAGGGGAGGAGTCCATCGTATTAAAAGACCCTATTCATTCATTCATGTTTGAGCTGGTAAAGATGTTTGTAGTCCTTCTTTCACAATAAGTTATTTATGGGGAAAATAACTTATTTGAAACAATTATTCATTCATGTTTGAGCTGGTAACAATTATTCTCTATTTATGATGGCATATCATATGATAAATCGTATTTGAAAATCACTCTTCCAATGTTTGATTGCAGTGAACTTTTAGACCCTGTTGTTGCTGAAGCTACACTGGACTTTCGAAATCTTAACAAGAGAAAACTTTTAACTAATTTCCCTACATTTCTCCCTCAGGTATGATTTGAAATTGGCATGATTCTTTGCTTGGGGTTTAGTTTCTTTATTTGACTGAATTTTCAGATTTAGAAGTAGAAAAGAAGAAGTATGCAACATGTATATCAAATATTTTGGTAACTTATCCTCCTCTAACATCAGTCTTGCATTTGTAGTTTTTCCCATTAATGCTAAGTTCCTCATGTCATCTTTTTGGTTCTGTTCTTAAAAGATATATTTAATTTATTTTATTGGAATGATCTTAGTTATAATTCGTGCAATTGTTGTGTCCTCGAGATATTTGTATATGACAAATGCCAAAAATGCTGGATATTGGAATTGAAATAAAGGAGTGTCTTGAAAATAGGTCAAACAGTTAAAGAAGTGCATTAATTTCCATAAAAACTGCATTGAATTTAATAAAAAGTGTCTTGTGTTTTAAAAAAAAAAATTTGGGTCTACTTTTCGTGTCCCCGGGACACTTGTTAAAAAGACCCTTCATATATTGGTATTCATAATTGTAGTTTTATTTTATTTTTGTCCTGTCAATGCTACTTCAGAAATAAATTTTGTTGCTTATGTGGTGCCACATCTTATTTTGTATGTTTAAAGTTATTATGCACCTTCCTGACCTTGTTGGAACAAAATATGGTATTGTAATTTCGTACTGAAACTAATTGAGCCTAACGGAAATTTTGACAACTAAACACATATGTTTAATTTCAAAAAGGAGGATCTAAAAGAATGCTTTCGGAGATACTGTGGACTCAATCTGCAGTGAAGGGCATTACTGACTTTCATACATATATTTTTTTTCTGTTTTCTTTTTTGATGCAGATTTGAAAAATCGTTTCTAAGTGTGTTTCCAGCATTGATGTCTCTTGGGTCATTTATTCAGCTATTTCCATCTCTCGTTGACTTACCAAGTAAGTTTGTTTTTCAGGCATGGTTGTTAATTCTCTACACAGGTTTGGCTTTGCGAGAGAACATACTTAGAGTGAATGGAAGTGATATTCGCCATGGTAATTTGATATGATCTTATTATGCATTTAGTTGAATTTTGTGCTAAGATTGCCTTGCATTTGTGATATTCGCCCATGGTAATTTGAAATGATCTTATATGCATTTAGTTGAATTTTGTGCTAAGATTGCCTTGCCTTTATTCTTCATCATTTAAACTATTTGTGTATTTGTGACTGAGATTTTTTTAAAACATATTTTCATAGTCAGACATTAGTAATTTCATCTCCCATGCCTTTCAGGAGGGAAAGTGAATATGCAATTTTACTGGCAATGAATTTATGCTATAAAATAGAGTTGCCAGAAGAATCTTTTGACTTCCATGCTTAAAATTATAGCATGATATTCAGTAAATGAATTTATACAGTGTGTTGTCAAACTGCATATTGCAATGAATTGGAAAATGAACAGAGGGTAGAGTATATGAAAAAAATAATGGTTGTCAATAATGAAAGTAGGATATTACTCTAGATGGAGCTGCATGTTGCAAAAGAATTCATTGAGTTGACTCCAAATAGACATGTTTAATTTTGTTAAATTGAGTTTTTCTGGCAGTATCTTGTTCTCTTATAAGCAGCAGCAGCAGCTACATTCTAATTCCAGCGAATTTCTGCCATGTTCAATATTACTGGACTCATATCATGCTTTTTATTCAACTGGCAGGCTCATTCTCTTTATTTCCCGAATTCTGTCAGAACTTGGATGAAAACGTGAAAATGCATTGGATTTTTTTTTGTGATTCTTATCTGCCTCCTAGATTAATATGCATACAGCCACAGAATATGTTAATACTTGCACTTGTGCTGATGTAGGTGGATAAAACATCACTACTTCGCAATGGCCATGGCACTTATCAGTCTCACTTGGGAGACCCAGAAGCAAGTTATTATCCTTCTTAAGTGCATATTGAAATTTTGTTTTTGTTTTTGTTTTTGTTTTTTTTTTTAATGAGTGAGACTGTACATGTACTGTGCAGAGAGGGGTGCAATTGTTCCTTCAATGGGCTATCATGCAAGGAGTTGCAATGCTTCTACAAAATAGATATCAACGGCAAAGGCTTTGTACACATTGCACTCGGGAAGGTGTAATTGAAAAGGGAAAAAAAAAAAAAATATTCCTTTCACCAACAAATTTCTGTGCATGCTTCATTTTTGCCTTTATTATCTTTAGTTCTTTCTGCAGTCTACTTTGTGTGTGTGTCTGCACTTGGTTGTGTGCTCTTTGTGAAACCTTGTCGTCCTGCATGGTTTGCAGAACTTCAATGAGTTCTTTTGCTTCTGCTAGTTGCAATAACCATGTTTTTGTCTTCTAGCCGATCTGTGTTAGTTTTTTATGGCCCATCGAAATACAGATAGAACTTTTTTTTGGTGGGCATATAATGTTTATTGCAATTGTTCTCCTCTACAGGTCTGAGATGACTCTTACCATTTGATCCCGTTGTTAATTACAGGCTAGGAGAATGGATGTTGTTTGGGGAGAAATTGCTGGAGTCAACGGTCAACTATGGTTGTTGGCACCCATTCTATTCATATTACAGGTGATTTAAGCTATACAAATGCCTGTTTTGGGGACCATGCCCACAAAAGATCATATTAACGTATGCTTTGCCATCCAAGTCATGTTGAATCAAACAAACACTAAAGCGATTTAAATTAAGGTTGTTAAATATTCATTTTTTTTCTACATAACTTGCCAAAAGTTATGTACATGTGTAAATAATTAAATATATATAACAGCTAGGGAAGGGAAGTTTTTGTTACTATCAAACATCATCACATTCCTTGAGTGTTTTCTTTCATTACTTGATGAAGTTGAAGTCATATTATCATTCTCTTCTAGTTTGCCATCCAACAATCCTAGTTTTATACATGTAATGCAACTTGCTCTTTCATCACAGCTCTCTCTCTGTTTTGAACTTCTTTGGCTCACATGTCATGATGTCACCATGAAGTTATTTGATTTTTTTTTTTTCGTTTTTTTCTTTGAAGATATTAGGAAGAGGTATGCTCACCAAAAAAGGGAAAGAATCTGTACATCATTGCATGATGATCATTAATTACCCAATTCTTCAGTGAAAAAAATAATGAAACACTACAACAAAAAACATTTTTGGCGACATTTTTTAGCATCCAAACTGAAATTAGTCGCCAATTTTATGTAATCGGCGACAATTTAATTGTTGGTCGCCAAAAATTACACTATTGGCAATGAGTTAAGATTTTTAGTCGCTAAAAGGTTTGGCGCCAAATTAATTTTTGGGGCGGGAGCGCCAAAAATATTTTCACGACCATATTAACATATAGCGACGAAATTTTGGTCGCCGATTGTAAAGTTTTGGCGATAGAAATGAAATAGTCGCGGAAAAGATGAACGGTACTTATGGCGACCGAAGGATTTTTGTCGCCAATAATTGTAAACGAAACTACGTCGTTTTGCATTTTTCAATTTTTTTTTAAAGACTTGGACCGACCCTTTTACTGAATAAACAAATAAGCTCTAACTCTCCCTCTCCCTTTCACTCTCACTCTTTCTCAATCCACAGCCTCAAGCGGCGCAAAACAGAGGTATGTCTCCCTCTCCCTCTCCCTCTCCCTCTCCCTCTCCCCCTCACTCTCACACCGCCTTCTCCTCCTCCTCCTCCTTTTCGTCTTCGTCTCTCTTCCTCTCGCTCTCTCTCTCCACCGATTGATTTTCACCGACGGCATTCACTTCTCTCTCTCTGATATTTTGAAGACAGATATATATATATATATATGAGTATATGATAAATATATGATAGATTGTTGTCCTAAAATCTGTGTTCAAGGATTTATATATATATATATATGATAGATTGTAGTTCCTAAAATCTGTCTTGAACGATTTATATATATATTATATATATTAAAATCTGTCTTTAAATATATGAGTAGAGACAAGATTTAGGATTGATTAAAATTTGTCTTTTAAATATATATTAAAATCTGCCTTTTAAATTTTTTCCCCCTTTTGTTGGAATATGTGCTCTTTTAAATTTTTAACTAAATGCACTTTTATCAACAATGAATTTGAAATTGATTGATTTTTCTTCAAGCATGGAGTGATCTTGTGAGTGAACCCATTGTATTGTTTGTACCAGAATTATCCTATTTATGTATGCTCTAATGCAATTAAC